CACCACGCGAGCTCATAAATAACTCGTGTACAAATGAATTTCTTGAAAAGGTCGTTGAAATATGGCTTCACGTGGGTCAGTCACGCAACTGCCGAAACTCTCATGAGTTATTTACTCATCGAGTTCGAGACTTCGGAGCTAATTACTAGGAATAACAAAAGGTTATCGAATAAATACAATGGTTTTCAATGTGTATGAAATGTAAGTCGGAAATATTATGTGAAGTCGTCAAACAAGGAAAACATATAATAATATTGTGACAGAGTTTATACCTATTATATGTGTGTATATATGGACGTTTTCATTTTGTTCAAATTTCAAAGAGATATTTGATCATTCCTCTTATCTGTAATTGAGATGTTGCTACAAAGATAATCGATATTTTTAACAACACATTGCTATTAGGGTGAACTTTGGAAGGGGACGCAACATTATTCGTGGTTAATCCGTGCATACGTGCGATTGAGAATATGAGAGAAATATGTATGAAATGGAATTTGTTGCTATACAAAAATTAATATACACTAAATCGTTTATAATAATTTGTAATATTCTGTCGCAAATGTTTAAACTATTACAAGCGACAGAAAACTATTACAAGCATTCAATACGTTTTTACTGAAATGATATGAGTCAACGACTGAAATGAGCCAATTATGTTTTTACTGAAATGTATAGCGGTTACACGTCGCAGTGCGATCATAAATCGTGAACATCCCAAAATAATCATGTGACAAAATACTCGATATACGATTCGTTCCAATAGTTCTTGATATTTCACGTGCAGCCATTATGAAATGTGTTGCATGGTTTGTGAATAATTTATGATAGATTGACGTTTGAATTTATTAGAGACGGTTCCAGGACCGCCATCAAGAGTTTTGTGTATATATTATATACCAACTTTTATTATACAATACAATATATTATACAAGTAAAACAATGATTTAATTGTAACTTTGAATTATAATTAAATCATTGCTTTACTTGTATGACAATTTTTATGTTAAATATGTACATTGTTTTTAAAAATATTCGTTTCTAATTCCATTTCTTGTAAAGGCACCAGCAAGTCTATAAGTTTATAAAAAACGAAGTGTAAATCATAGAAAGAAGGAAATACTCGAATGAGAGTTAAAATATTATTCTCATATAATATGCACGTCTGATTTCTGTAGCCCTCTTATTGAGTCAGCTGTTATGAGTGGCTACTTGTCGAGATATTTCAAATGTATGCAAAAAAATTCAAATACATTTTGCACTTCATTGATGTTCGAGTTATTTATAATATTAGAAAATGAGCAATTTAAATTCCTGTTTACTAAATACATTTTCAAACTATTACAGCTGGCTATTAATATTGAACACATTTTGGGAAACCAGTTAATATGATAAATTGAGATAAATTATCATTTAAATAGAAATTTTTGAATAATCATGAATCTATTCAAAATAACAGTTGTAATTTGTGGTCCTATAAAATATTTAGGATAAATATAAATACACATTTGCACTTCTTAGAACTAAATGTTTTTAAATAAGTTTTGAGCTATTCTAAATATCTTTACTATTTATAAATAGAGTTATTTAGTCTATTTAAGAGAGTTAGTTTAAAACAAATAGGTACAAGTTTTTAAAAGCACCATCAATTGACGTCATGTACATTGTCAATTAGTATTCACGAACTGAACCTCCAGGGAAGCAATATTCAAAATTACAGAGGTAAAAAGTTCGCAAACAAAATGGAAGACAAACGCTTTAACACTAGTGCAACGAAAAACTTGTTCTTCTGACAGTGATGGATGCCGTCCCCATGCCGACACTCGAATATCGTACTAAATATAAAATAACACTCCAAATCTATAGATATAAAAATGAATTGCTGTTCCTTAGTCTCACTAAAACTCGAGAACGGCTGAACGGATTTATCTTATCTTAGTCTTGAGATGTTCGTGGAGGTTCAGGGAAAGTTTAAAAGCTGAAAAAAATTGATTCATTTCCGGGAAAATCCTAAAAACAGCCCTTTTCTATTTCCCATACAAACTTTTTTTTACATTAGATTTGACAACTAATTAATATGTCAATCTTTCTGTCGCATTTCAAAACACGGAGATTTATAGCTTAAAGGTAAACTCTAAATTATAAATAAAAAAACGTAATAGACATTTCTCGATTATAGAGCGATACGAAGTTCGCCGGGTCTTCTAGTTTTATCTAAAAATTTTTAATATAAATGTTATAAATCTATTTCGAATATTATTACGTACTTATCAAATGGCCAATTAGACTCTTTGTACTAAATGGTATTTTTTGTGGATTAAAAAAGGCATCACGATTTATGTACCATTAAGTATTAGAATAGAAATTAGATAATAGAATAGTATTATTAGAATAGAAAATTCAAGTGTCTGTAATTTTAATTAAAGTAATATCGAATATGAAGTTTATCTCAAAAAGCTTTACATATAAATTGATAGTGATGGTACCTATGAACAGTGTAATAGTTTTTATTACTTGATAGTAGTAGCAAGCTATGAATAATGAAAAGTAGCGCTATGTTTTTAATTTAGGACCAATAGCGTTTTTACTTTATTGAAACGAGAGAAAAACTTTCAATTCGAAATTTTGTAGTTTTGCAAATTTACATCGATAGAAACTATAAGGACCATTATAAAATGTAATAAAATATTTTGTAACAGGTTCTTCAAATTAGATAATTTATTTCTCGTAAAAAATAAAGCAGACTATTTCATGATACAACATCTGAAACTGTATTCAGATTGGTGGAAACGATATTAAAATTTCTGAATATGATGGTAGTATAAATGACAAAGATTTAAACAAAGTAGAATTTCTGGTTTCCAGCGACGAATTAACTAGATTATTGAATGGTAAAAGGCAGAACACACTCAATAATTTCTGATATATTGCTATCTCGGTAACACGTCTCAAGGACACTGATAGAGGCGGGTCCTTTGTATCTGACGAGGATGAGGCGTAAATATCTCAATTATACTCTCTTTCCTATGAATTTCCGATTTGTATTAAGTGAGGTAAAAGTTACAGAAAAGAGATTATAAGGATTACAATCAATGAGAGAAGGAAAAAAATCGGAGTTGTAAATGCAGCTTGCTGCTGTTTGAAGAAAACGGTACTTAAACTAAGCTGACATGTGAAATGAAGTTAATCTTTCACGAAAATACCAATATAGACCGTTCTCTTCCATAACTGGAGATTAACGATGCAGTTCCAATTAGTCTAGGCTACAAAAATCTTTAGTCTTTTCCAGCTATTCAAATAAAGGATATAGTTTGGATGAAGAAAAATATTATGATAATAAATGAATACGTAATCTATTATTTTTACTCGAAGATTTCTTTTCAAGTGTAAAAAGTATATATAAGATTAAAAGTTAAGCAGTATTTTAAACTATTAACTGTGTTATGCAATATGTTATATATTATATTCCATCTTAATATATTTTGTCGGCTTGACTAAGTAATATTAAAACAAAAAGTTTTCAATATTCTTTATATTCCTCTTAGACCTCTAGTTTATGAACGTACATATAAATGTACATATTTGGTTGTTAAGAATGAATTTCCAAGAAAAGTATATTTACGAAGTGTAAGTTAAAAATAGAACAAGCGGTGAATAATTCAAATAATTACTTTTGCGAGATTTATACGTTACATTAAATAAGAGGAGGAATTTTTTCGAGATCCTTCTACCCTCACCTTCAACGCTTTGTATAATTTGAATGTCTGAAGTTTCTTTTACAATCCTAATCCAGTTTTTTCTTAGAACTCTCATTCGATCCTGATATAAGTATATCTTTTTGTACACAGAGTTGATAGTATATATTTTTGGGTAATATATATATATATATTACCCATATATACCCATATATATATATATATATATATATATATATATATATATATATATATATATATATATATATAAATATATATGCTGTGATGTATACATACCCTAAAATTTATTTATTTAAGGAAAATTCTTTTAAAATAATTTATTAAATGAGGTTGCAAATATATATTTATTTTCTCTTAAGGATAAAATCTTTGATATCGCTTAGTATCTTTCTTGATGTTAAAATACCATTGAAGGTTTCTTTTTAGGAAGGACGCGAGGTAAATTTCTAACAAATCTTTGTTTAAGCTTTATGTAGATGTCCCTTTTCAATATGACACAAAAAGATTTTTACATTTATCCTTACGGCTCAATATAATTTGTACATAATTTTACAAAAAAAAAAATAGTCATGCGGTACAATAATATTTATAATATTTTTTTCACTTCCACCGTTATTGTAAAAGTAAATAAATTCTTGAATCACAAGCAAACTTTTATTATACAATATATATTTCCTAATACAAGTGTACTATATAATAGTACTTACACAAAACGTAATTGGTGTCATTTGAATATAAATTTATCCAAACAGGATACCGCATCAAATTCGATTACATCCATAAATACTCAACCATATGAAAATTTTTGATTTGTTACTGCAATCTTCCTAAATAACAATGTACGCGTTAGATCAATCTTTACGTTTGTATGCCATAATTGCGAAACTGCGTTAAACATTATAATTACAGCACTCATTAAAGTAATGGTGTACATGTATTCTAGACGTTACTTATTCATGATTTTCAACATAAAGCCCCCGTATTCGTAAATAGTGCGAGTTGTCGCTGTTGTAAGGCTAAGTTGTGGGAAACTTGAGCCGCGTTAAGTGTTTTCTATTGTCAGTTTCGTTTTGCATTAAAACTGCCAACTTGTTATTTGGTGACGGCAACTGAATTCTGCTGACTGGAGCTAGTGGTTTTATTACATTAATAATATTCAATTACTTCATAATACTAATACTAATCTATAATGTTTTATCGTACAAATCTGTAGTGGAAGTAAGAATTATAAGATTTTTTATTAAAGCACCGAATGAATATTTTTTTTAAGTCATCATATCTTACCTTATGTATTGGAGTGCCCCAGAAGTCGTTAAGGAATATATTTGATATCGGTGTCTGCGGTCTCAGGTCTCGGTTTTCTTTTATGGCACTAATATCATCAAAAACGAACCCACAATAAAGGCAATTGTGATAAATTAGAACGCAAGCTAAAACTAATACCGCTCCGAGACCTCTTCGTGGCGTCTCAGGCATTTCTTCGGTAGGCTGTGTCGGTCCAGTTATTTTCCTTTTACTTCGACCAGTTCTACTTTTAACCGCTGACACCACACCTCCGAACCTGCAGACGCCACTAACGCGATCCATCATGAATTAAAAGCCCCCAACGTTCATACTAAAACACAACACCGTACGAATCTGACGTTTACTAACAAATCCCATTTATATCCGTCTCGAATAACCTGGTATGTCAGCATGCCAACCGAATTAACAATGTTTAGAATTAAAAACGGAGCAAAATCTCGAAATTGTCACCAACAAATCAAATGTGGCTACTATAACAGTATTTGTTTACGTCACTGTGTGCACATGTCACATTTTTTTTGCCGAAAGCGTTTAATTTGACATTTAGCTGTAATATCGACACGAGTGTTAAGACACACCCGCACTTCGAGCCGACTTGCCGACAACTGCCGAAGTGCGACGAGCAAATGCCGCGTCGAGTCACGTGACCAGTCGTTTTACTGCGGGTCGTTTTAATACCACGCATGCGTCCTACACCCAACGTGTCAGTTGACTGGCGGCAAAACAAATATAATCTGTTTTTAAATAAATATAATAACATGTCAAATAATAAATTCTAACAGTGTATTGAAAAAATAAAGATTATAATCAATATAAAGTTTTACTAAAAATAAACTTTTCGTAAACAACTTATTAATATTTATATAGAAGTAACCATAATCTAAATTATAAGGATTACGTCTTAATAGTAATTACGGATGACTTGAGTGGTGAATATCACAACTCGGTTTATCTAAATTCTGACCCCCGGGCGCATGTCCGGGGTTTGAGGGGTGAGGGGATGTATGTTAATGACGACATTTTGCTGGGGTTAGTGAGTTTAGACGAGTCAAGAGTCGAACTCAGATGGAGTTGATCGTTTTCTCTACTCATATTTCGGTAGTTTGGCGTAAACTTTTTCAATCTAAAAACTGTTATCGCCATCCCTATGATTGGAATAAAAATAGAAAAGTTGAAGTTGTTTGAAAAATCAAATTATTAATGTATATAATACTTCCATTACAAAACATATTTTTAAAGGTATATATGGTTAATTTGCTTAAATAAAGCATGAGTTATTTCGTTAATTTGTATATTCATTAAATTTCAACATAAAATACGAACTGTGAAATAAAATATTCATTGACACGTACAGGATTCGAATTGGCAACCTCCAACTACTTATTCACTGACTCGAGTTAGGACCCTATCGTTTAGTTGTTAAAGGAACTTGTACCCGATATTCTGGAGGTATTAGGTTCGAATCTTGTGAATTCTACTCCGGTGTTTAAATTTATCATACGTTATTTAAATTTAAATTTAGAAGCTCAAAATTACTTATTGTAAAATACAAAATTATATGAATTAAAAATTAATTATAAAATATAATATATAGGGAATTATAATTACTACGCGTGTTAATAGCGTCCTTAAAATGCATTAAACAGTTTCAACAATAATACACTTGACCATAAAACGAATAAATTGTACTTTTCCACAGCAGCAACTGAGGCTCACGACGGCTAACATATAATTTGATAATAACAATATTCATTTAGTAATTATAAAATAAAATGCAACAAAATTATTGGGCGATACGTATTTATTCAGCAATTTGAACGGTATAGTTACTGAACGGCTGGCCAGCGCACAATGGCCACTTCCCGTGCTTACTCTTTCAATTGGCCCCATTTTTTTTCAATTACAGCAACAATTCGCTTGCCTTCTTAGGCTTTTCGTGGTCACATTCAAAGGTTAATGCGCTCAAAAGATTAAGTGGGGCGTGTTAATTATTTCCTTTTTAGGAGGACCAGTCAATAGTTCGTGTTGTTACATGTGATATAGGTTATAGACAATATAGCTGTAATCAATCTTTAGCTATGTATTTGGAATGTATTATTTTCTTCAAGTTTATATGTGAAACTAAATTAAATATTACTTTTATTTAGAAGTATATATACCTATACATTTATAAGAGGAGGTTTATTTATTCGTTTTTTCCTAGCGTCCATAAAAATTCTCCAAACATTTTGTAGTTTCAAAAACGAATGCCAAAGAAGATTTTACAAATAAGAATGCACGAGTGTGAGGTGGAATGCAAATAAAAAATAAATGATTCCATGTCCCCAGTTGGCTTTTGATTCATTCAGTTTTTTAGAATCAGTAAAGGACATAGCATGCAGGAATCCTAAGGGAACGATAACCCTGAAAAACTGGGGCCTTCGGTGATTGATGAGGAACTGGGTTTAGAGAGTGGTCCCACGTCCAGAACGCCTTAGGTATTTTTTTAATTTATCGTATAATTTTATGATTGAACTGTTAAAGTTTATTAAGTTTTTAATAAGCTACTAGAAAAATGGAATCTCTGTTATTGGGAATATTATTGCAAAAAATATAATGAAATATTAGTAATACTCTTCCCCCATTAAATTTTTACCTATGCTGGTATTATTATGAATCTGGAGCTACTTCTCGCATTCAGAACTTACGAGGTCGATAAGCCAGCCGTCCAGCGTAAGATGAACCTCCCCATTTCCCGGATATCTTTGATGCGGTTATGGAAAAGGGGGAAATCGAATGACAGGTCAGAAATCAATTTATAATGGATCACAATAATTTGCTTTTGTAGCTATCAGAATGATCTACTGTAAATATGAATTCTTAAAAACTATTTTACACTTAATAATGAGTGTTCATAATTAAAATTGATACAATTCCAAAATAGAATCAAATAGTTATATACCTGAATTGTGTTCTTTAAAAGTTATTATTAACAAATCAAATTTATAGTAGATAGTATCGTTTTGAGTAACAAAATTTTAAGAATTTCATAAATGCCGTTGAAGAAATTTTAATCGTTCATTACGTTAAGTTTCATATTTCTTGAACTCGAAATAGTAATTTAGGTAAAACCATCAGTGGAATTGTAACCGCTTTGATATAAACGAGAGGCAATAAATCAAAACTTTCCCATTAAAACAACGTGCTACCTCTGACGCGACACCGCCTACTTCACTTCTTAGCTCAACATTGTCTTATAACTTTGATGACAACAGAGAATTGAATTCATTCTTGTGCATTCTCATTAATCGGTATAAGAACAATTAACTTTAAAATAATGATAACTCTTCAACATAAGAAGAATTTATTTTATATTTACTTTTATTAAGATATTTTTATTAGCTCAGAAAATATCGAAAATATACATATGTAGTTTTTATTATTTATTGTATGTTTTGTTAAATTGTTTAAAACGTTCTCTAAATGTTTTCATGGAAGAAGTGCCTAAAATTGCTTCAAGTTTGATGTATTTGCACTCGCTTCTCCAGAGATAAATTTGTTCTAAAACTTAGTGAATGTGAAAAGTTTGAAGCTCACTTCAATCCATTACATGAGTAAAATATTTCTTTGTTTTGTTAGCAGGCTGCCGGACGCGATCTTACAAATCATAAGTTTGTCGTTATTCCATATCTTTGTCAGATTAATAACCTCTTGGTACGTTTCTAAATAAATAAATGTGCTATATATAGTAACATGAGATATCGCTGAGGTTTTCAAGGTTGATTGCTGCAGATATGTATGAATAGAAGTCTATCAATCTACTCTGTTTGATAGAAAATGTTATGTTTGTAACTGGATATTGGGTAGGTTTATTTAATATAAGTCTATCAATCATGCTGTTGTATATCCCGTGTTGGTGACAGATCGTTGCGCAACATGTGACGTGAATCAGCATTGGCCTTTTACGTTTATATTTGGTATAAGTCAATAATGAATTTGTTTTTATTTTATTCAATTAGTTGAGAGTTAAAAAACATGAATCATTGAATACATTTTCCGAGTTTTGTCATTGTAAAGAAAATTTTATTACAACGTTGTGTTCGGGAATCCATAATAATTCATAATTAAAATAACGAGATCTGTTATCTATAACTTACAATAATGTTTTCATATTTAAATGGTCACGAAATACTTTATATATTTGTATTAACATAGCTTCAAACATATAATTATTTTATTTATTGTAGACTTAATAAATATTGCATAAATATTTACTGCTATTAATAGGTATTTTATCGAAGAATCCAAACCAATGTGCTGGGACAATACAACTAATTGACAGACTGGTTTCGAATGCATTTGACGTTTATTAATAGACACGCCGCCTTGACAATTGCGGAAAAGGAACTTAATATTGTTTCTCGGAGAAAATAATTACGATTTCGATTGTTAAACTATTACCTTTTCTCGATCTTCGGAATTAATTAAACAGGAATGATACATTAATTTATTTGAAGACAAAACAAGAAGAAAAATTACTATCGACGAACCTTTCATTTTTCTTGTCTCAAAGGAAACATTACTGCTGATCCACCCAAAGCGATCGTATTCACTTTAAGCACTAGGACCAAATCCATAACGAGAAAGTTTTGATTTAGTGCTTATAGCTGTCCCAGCCGGGAGAGTCCTCTTAAAAGTTTTAGTAATGTAATAGAATAAAACTGTTCGAACAATGCTCGCACTCAAGCATTCATAGCTGGTTTCGGAAGCATTATAGAAATGTATGAACTTATTGCTGGCAGCGGTTGAGACGTTAAATCTAATGTTGCGCTATCCAATGAATACTGTAAACCTTTTGCCAGATCTAAACTCACAATGCGCACTACAGACATTGGAATCCCATTAAACTTTTACGTAAGGTTTAAAGATCCTTTTAATTATTTATTAACCGGGACGTGTTAAGATGTGCTAACGAAAAATAATTGGATAAAACGGTTACACAACAACATCGGATGTTAAGTTGAAGCGTCCTATCAAATTAATTGAAAAAATTCGTCATTTCACTTTTTCTTTTGATGAAATAGTAACAAATGAGACCAAAGTGAAAAATGTGTAACAATAACGAAATGGAAGGGAGAAATGTGATATTGGATCATTAAACAAGAAAAAATCGACTTCCATGTGATGGAGCAAAGGAATCAAAAGTTTTGGCTGAGGATGAAATGAATTTGAAAATAAAATATTAGAAGCAAGATTCGCACAATTGCAGACTTATTTTGATATTTCTGATTAATACGAGATATATT